GATCCTGAATTCCTCGATTGTGACGTGAAGTTGAAGTTATCCGTTGAAGTTATCATTTGAAGGATTCCAATTTAATCCGAGTATTTTAGTAGTGCAGTCGTCGAATGATATTGATGATAAAGAGCTTGAAGACTGGAATATACCNAATATCTGAGCTACTTCAGACATTATGGGGCGTTTTGTGATTTTGGATCCTGAATTCCTCGATTGTGACGTGAAGTTGAAGTTATCCGTTGAAGTTATCATTTGAAGGATTCCAATTTAATCCGAGTATTTTAGTAGTGCAGTCGTCGAATGATATTGATGATAAAGAGCTTGAAGACTGGAATATACCTTCAAGTACTGATGTATTGTTTGAGTGCCACTTTGAGGGGAAAACCGCCCGCCATGCATAGATTAATGAGTTCTTTAGCAACAATTTCTAAAGTGTCAGGATCATCAGCTCCACCAAAGATGTCGTCAACATATCTGCCCTTTGTTATTGCTTCCGAAGCTAAAGGATAATTACTTCCTTCATCGTCAGCTAATTGCAGTAAAACGCGAATTGCCAGGTAAGGAGCTGATCTTTTGCCATATGTTACTGCCGTCAGCTGGTATGGCGTGATGTTGTTCTGGTTATCCAACCAAAGAATTTGCTGGAGGTGCCATGTACCATAATTTGGCGGTACATTTTCGTGATATCCGTTGCGAATACATACTTGTGTTGACGTACCCACAACAGAATGTCGGTAATATCTAGCTGAATTTTTTCTCCAGTTAAAGTAATGTCATTTAGTGAGTATCCGGACGTAGTGGGGCTGGATCCGTTGAAAACCACTCTAAGCTTAGTGGTTGTACTGCTTGGTCGCAGGACCCCATGATGTGGCATGAAGTACTTTATTGTCGAAGTGTCATGTTTGGTTTTCACCATGTGACCAAGTTTTTCGTAGTCGCGCATGAATTGTGTGTAGAGCTGGTTATATTGTTCATCCCTTTGAAGCCTTCGTAATTGACGTTGAAGACATTTGTATGCTGTATTATATGACTCACCTAGTACCGTGACTGGAGATTTTAACGGTATTCGGACAATACATCGACCTGATGAATGACGCTGATGAGTTTTCTTGAAGTAGTCCTCGCATTTTTGGTCTTCGGGTGAGCGCACGTTGTCTTGTGGAGTAGGAACTTCTCCCTGAACCCAGAATTTCATTAATAATTGTTGTATTGCACTGTTGCCTTGAGATACCATTGTATGAAAGACATTAGGTTGTATGGATGATGTGTGCTGAACCGGTCCAAGTACCAGCCAACCAAAAATTGAGGACTGGGCTATGGGAGTGTCTGGTGAGTTATAGATGATATCTGGCTTTATTATCTGGCCATAGAAGTCGGCTCCAATGATGATGTCTATTTTCTGAGGTGTCAAAAAGGTTGGATCAGCTAGTTCCAGATGGTTGAGGTGAGGCCAACTTGTAAACGAAGTGTGAAAAAATGGTAAACATGATGTAAGGCTCTTTAGGATGTGAGCTTCGATAGTGATCATTGCAGATGAGTGAATGGATTGTAGACTGCAGTTTGTCACTCCCTTTATTTTAATTGGATGGTCGCCACCGATTCCAGTAACTGTCAGTGCGGAGTCGCTTTTCTTTAAGTTTAGTAAGGTAGCGAGATTGTCAGACATAAACGTTATTTCTGAGCCTGGGTCTACTAATGCTCTCGCTTGATGAGTGCCTGACGTTGATATTACCTTTACGAGAGCTGTTGCTAAAAGTGTTGACTGATGTGTACGCGAATGACAGGAAACTG